TATTAATTGAAATATGCATTTATAAATGCGTTTAATCAAAATTGCTTTTATTTTTCACAATAACCATTTGCACCAAGCACTTTAAGAACATTTATTCCAGGTGTTTAAGGTGGAGTTAAAGAAAATTATTGAGAGTCTAAAAAGGATTGAATAATACATTTCTATTCAAAAATTCGTGAAATAGTTTATATGAATATGTTAATTAACATATGTAAAAAACAGCAAGCTTTAATGTAAAGTTTGTTTGTTTATGCCAAGAAATATAATAATCTAAATATAACAGCTATTTATTAACAGAAGTGGGCATTAACATTATGTTAACTGTCAGATGCTTAATTATAGTGACTGTCGGTGAATTGGAGACCTTTTTTAATAATAATAATATATAAAATCCAATGCAGACTTAGCCTCGAGCTAGAATTTTATTTTCATTTCTTTACTGGTTATTTAAACAAAGTTCTATTATATATATTTTTCTTTTACAACATGAAATCTAAAAACTTTAAGCCGTCTGCATTTTGGGCCACACATTTCAAAATAGTTGCTATTCCCCGTAGCTAGGCAACGCTCGTAAAGCGATTTTGCCTTTTAGCCAAATTTGATGGGTTTTGAGCCAGAGCAAGAGCTCGTCATGTTGCCGGGACTCTTAAAACATTTCAACTGCAATTGCCTGACGGGGCTCTAAATGTAAAGCTGGCAACAAGCGCGCGGGATTTGAAATATGCCTGACCAGGGTGGAGGGAGACGGCGATAGGGTGGGCGAGGTAGAGGTGAGGTAGAGGCTAGGTAAGAGTGAGATCAAAAGCGTATGGGCCTATTTGCATACATTGAAGTTATATAAAAGCCAAAAGAACAGCAGCAAGAGCAACAAAAAAAGCAGCAGCGGCAGCAGCTACAATAATAATAATGCGAGCTGTAATAAGCCTTTTTGGCAAAAGTTGTTTGTTTAATGCCCAGGCTCCTTGAAGCGGCTAACAACATTTGAATAAATATTTCAAAACGTTTTTGCCTGGCCTGCGGCCAGTTACCTGTGCAGCATATTGAATGAGTATTTCAGCGAACTGTGCAAACACACATAGACGCACACACACACACATTGATATATATGCGCACCTACAATTGAATTACCTGGAAATTGACTGGTTGTAAAACTGTCTCGAACTCTGAGTCTATGTAGTTTTTGGGTTTATTTGGCAAACGCGCATTACGCTTGCCAAATCCATCAAAGTCCTGCAGCGCACTGAAAGCGTGCCACGAAATGCAAACAAACGCTGTGTAGCGCAGTGTAAGCGCCGGCAGTGTAAGGCATCGTGTGCTACCACAAATTGCAATTAGTGTCCCACTGTTGATTGATAGTCGCGGATAAATTTCACTACGTTTGACATGAAATTTAAAACCATATATTACATACATAGAAAAATACATTTTTATTTGTATATATATAGCAATTTAGATATTTTTGCTTAACAATTTATCAAGATTTAATAGCTTGTGATAATTAGAGAACTACTTAATATTAGGCTTGTCTAAAAAAATGCTAGAATTACCGGTAGAAGCTTTAAGAGCAAATCAAGCAGTATACCAAGCTGTATACTGGTAACGGTAATTCAATCTAGAAAATAATAGCAACCAACTAACTAATCATACATCACAATAGCAACCAAGAGCTTTCAAAGCGCATTCACAGCTTTCATGAATGCTCTTTCTGCATTAATATGATGTAAAACTTAATAGCTTTTTGTTATTCTAGTGCTTGTATACATCTTTACAATTAATACTTGTTTAAGGCACTTTAAAAATACTTATTGAATGTTTATTGTAACTGAAGTTCATAGTAAACTTTGTTCATAATTAGCTGCACTGAATTAGACCTTATTTGTAAGCCAATTAAAGGATGTTGCCAGCCAAATAAGACAGATGCACAGCCACTTTGCATTCTGTTTAGCCAGTTGTCCAATTAAGTGCAGTACATTTGCAAATAGGCACACAGGCAGGCCTAATACACTCATGATGAAAATAATAAGTACACCCAAAAATTTTTGAAGATTCTGTCATAACTAATTCATTTTTGATATTTTTGAAAAAAAATCAATGGTAACTTTAAGAGAGCAATCTGACAATATGATGCATGCAAAAAAAAAAATTATATTTCCCCCTAAATTCATAGTAGTCACAATAAACTGAAATGGGCCTGCTGAAAATAATAGGTACACTCCATTACTTCAGCCCGAAAAAAAAAGTTTAGAATAAGAATGATTTCTTTTATTGTTGTAAAATAGTAGGTAACCTTCCTACAGATGTTTGATGTAAAAAAAAATTATCAATATCATATGTAGATGGGTCGAAATATTAATTGTTCGAGTCAGGAACGCAGAATTGCTAAAAACCTTCGAAGGAATGGCAAATCTTTGCGTGAAATTGCGAAACTGATGAACAGATCTCTTAACGTTGTGCAAAATGCTTTAAAGATGCACAATAAAAAGNATTTGTTTGTAACTTTTAAAAAAATAATTTTTTTTTTCCAAATTTATGTATTTTCATTAATATATACCTAATACACAAATGTGCATTTAAATTTTCATGTTAAGGGCAGTAGAAAAAATGTTTTGCTAAACTAAACTCAAAAAAGTTTAATTTTAAGGGGTGTACCTATTATTTTCATCATGAGTGTATATATGTAATACCTATGGACTGACTGACTGATCCAAAAAGCGATACTAACATTATTCAATTAAACAAAATATTTCCATGGGGAAATGCTTAATGGCAAATTCAAATGCAAATGCAAATACAAAATTGTTTGCCAACAATTGGCTCATTATGTCGCCTGCATATATCTCTGTGTGTATATCCTCATACATGCAGATATATATTTCTGTCAACAGAATTTGAACGGCATAAAACACTAATGCTATTAATTTTCTGGTTGCATGTTTCATTTCCTGTGGCGATTGCTCCTAATTTTGCGGGCAGCAAACTAATTTGTCAAACGAAAATATGTGAAATAAATGACAAATATGCTCAGACCTAATATAATCGCATTTGCTATTTATTTATAATTATGGCTAAATAATTTTTGTTGCCACTGTAGCGTAGAGTGTCCGGTTCGTGTTCGATAGTTCATGGTCATCCATTAAAATATGTGTCAATGCTCTTCTAGATAGTTGATATGATTATTTAGATAGATGAACCAAGCTGAGTTTTAGTTTATGAAAAACATTTTATTGAATGCAAAAATCGATTTATTTTATATTTGAATATATGTATGAATACTGATGATACTCAAATGAATTGAGTTAAACTGGAATAATGAATATTGTATTGGATATAGTACAAATTCATAAATTATAAATTTTCCATGAATGATATTTACCTCTGCCAAAATGCTATTATTTATTTCTACTGCATAAATTTGCATTCAAAGTCAATATGAAAATCAGAAAGGTAAAATTCAATTTTGTTATTGCTCTAATGTGATTAAAGTCATAAATCAATTTGGGTACAAAATGCTAAAATGCATTTCATTGAATTTTACATAGAATTAAAATGAAAACAAATAGTATACAAATTATTTGGAAATTCAATGCACAATTAAATGCAGCTGCTTAAAAAATATCCATAAAGTTATTTACAAATGCAACTGGCATCTATTTACATGGCATAAATATATTAAATAATGAATATCTCACAAATGCTTTTACGCATTTTGCATTTCATATAGATTTATTACGAGGCGCCTATAAATATATTTTACAATTAATCAATATAAAAAGCTGTGAAGAGCTCCACAGATAATACCAATAAAATTTTACAACCGTCCGTGATCAAGAGGCGAATAAAAACAAAGCGAAAACTTTTGCCCACCAAAATGGATGCAAGTGAAATGCTAGCTGGGTGTATGTGTGTGTGTGCGTATGTGTGTGGGTGTCCACTTTTCCTGTCCGTGCGCGGCCATAAAGCAGCTCGTAAATTTCAGCACACTTGGCACAGGCGGAACAGTTGCCCAGTGTGGCCCAGCTGCTGGCTTGTCTTCGCCTTTTGGCACACTGCAAATCCAGCGCCAGAGTTGCCACCCGGTGCGTATTTTTTTTCTGTTTTTCTGTTGTTTTTTTTTCCTTTCTTGTTTTGTCTGTGCCCTTTACGTGCGCTGTCTGCTCTGTCCGGCTTCTGTTGCCATTGTAGTTTGTATTCTTTTCTTTCTTTCGGTTTTCACTTCTTTTTTCATTTTTTACTTGACGCCGAACAATGAAAATTCACGCTGTACGATTTTTCGCGTTTGCTGCGATGCGCTTACAGTGCGCACTCTGGTTGTCTGACACGGCTTGTAGCGTCTTCTATTTGCAGTGCTGCGAAAGGGTATTCGAGTTTCGTTCTGCTGTGATTTGTGCGGGTTTTTTCCATTTCTTGTTGCTGCGGTCCAATTCGCTGTATATTACGCAAATCCTTAGTTACGCCTTCGCTCGCCACATCCTGGCTACATCCCAGTCACGGGTCACGGGTCACAGTTTCCCTCGGAGTATGTGTGGGTATGTGTGTGTGGAGAGTGTTGAACAATAGCTGTGAAATAATCACTTGCTTGTTTGCACTTTATTAAGTGGCAGCTCGAGCCGGCATGTTCGCTGTGTTATGCAGCCTGTAACGCTTCAGGTGCTCCAGCTGGGATAGCAGAGGCAGAAGCAAAAGAGAACAACGTAGAAACATGAGTGTGATACTTGAATGTTTAGCAACACTAAATGTTGCCTTTGAGTGCCTTTCATAAAAATATTATAATATAATTTAGTTCAAAATATTTAAATTATTATTTTAGAATTATATATTACACATATATTCATGGGTTATATAAAAAGAAGTTAAAATATATAAATATATTTTTAAAATGTTTACTTACATTGCTTTAAATGTAGTTGAATTTATTTTATATTGACCTAAAATTTTCCATTATTTCGATTATAATTTAAAAACTTTACTATACATATATAAAAATGTATACACATATTTTGTTAGTCATAAAACTTTTCGGCAATGTTCAACTGTCTAACGAATGTGACAACAGAAAACGCCAATTTAGCAACCTTTAAAAAAAGAGAAATTGAAATAATTTAAAAATTACCGGAATACCCCTACTCACAGCTATATTTGACGAAGTCGATATTACGAAAATTCCTCCGGCTGTGAAAATAATCGGTTTCTGCACATTGCTTAGGAAAAAACATAATGTGGTCCTATATTGACGATCCGCAGTTAGCCAATTGGAGTGAAAGAGACAATTGGCCATTTCGTAGCAATCGTCGTATATCATATTGCAGATGTAGCAAAAGGGAAAGGTTTGCAGTATCAAGTCGAACATGAATATGCCAGTGCCCAGGCCAGTCCAGAAATTGGAGAAGAAAATAACGTTGATCGCCGAGAGGCCCATGACAATGCCAATGAGTACAAACTGAACGAAAATTGTAGCAGAGACAACGGGTCGCAGGGTGTTGCAGTAGCTGAAAGAAGAGCATATAAAATATGGTAAAAATATATATATAGACTGATATCGATATACTCACTCCAATATCAAACGATGATCCTCAATACATCTGATGAGCTGCTTGTAGTTTTCCTCCTCGGACATATTCGTATCCATGCGCAGGTTTCTTAATCTCTCCTTAAGCATTTTAATGTGAGTTCGAATAGCTAAGAAATATACAATCGGATAGACATCGGCCATTAGATCCTGCACCACAGCGCCTGTCATCCATAGAAATTCCAAAATTCCTGCCAGCCAAAAGCTAAATAGACCTCTCTCTGCATCCACCAGCGGATTGTAGAGATTCCACGCCAGGCGACCGAAGAACATGCTCCCCAGAAACGTGGAGCTCGAGTAAAGCAAATACATCGCACAGTATGTCATGTATATTCGATTGCACAGCGTTGCCGTCTGCTGCAGTTGGAGGCGATGCTCTGAGGTCTCGCAACGCGAGTCCAAGCGATCCAGTATCTTCTTGGCCAGCTTTAAGCGCCTGACGCCGGCAAAGGTGTAGCTGGCCTTGATGCTGCAGCCAAAGCAGTTGAAGGCCACTTGCAACGAGGTGAGAAATTGCCTAGCCGTGAAGCTGCTCAGCTCACTGTAGCTAATCAGCAAAGAGACATCCAGTAGTATGATTATGAAGAGTGTCGTAAATGCTGACCACAAGCGATAGATGTAGCGTCCACAGGGATTTTTTGGTGGCATCCAGCCGACTACGCTCATGCCTCGATCTATATAGACGAATGAATCGCGCGATCGAGCTGGCGAGGAAGCATCGGGCAGGCGCAATCGTGGAAATAGTTTGTAGAGCATGTTGGCTCTACTGTGTCTCGCATAGCAAAATGACAAAGGGAATGGCATGGCGGGCGTTTTTATATACGACGGGCAGCACATACCCTGTATTAATAAAGAATGGTGGGAATTTATGGGAGAGAATATTTAAACATGCAATGAAAAAGTAATTCATAAAAGCAGCAAAAACTTTATATATAAAGAGTGAGACATGTTTATAAAAAGAAAAATTGATCCATAATAATAATATATCTATAATATATCT